GCTCAGGCAATCCACTCATCTCAGCCTCCCAAAGGCGCGGGATTACAGGCTGAGCCACCGAGCCCGGCTGACAGCATTGTACTTAAAGACCATATTAATGGCAGAAGGTCAGGCCTTGTGGCTAGAGGCGGTGCGTCTGGAGAGGAGACATTTTGGTGCCTGTTTCCAAACACCCATCCTAGGCAGTTGCCCATGACAACAATATGTGAAACCCATGATGACACCCGCATGCAAAGCCCACGATGACACCTGAGTGTAAAGCCCATTCAGGACTCCCAGACAGAATGGTCTCTGCATCAGTTTCACATGCCCGGGATTCCAAGGTCAAGTCAGAACTTTTGGGAACCTCAGCACTGCTAACTTCCCATTTTGCAGAGGGAGGAATATAGGGACCGCAGCACCTCGGGGGGCTTGTGCTTAGGGGCCAGGGTCTGTGACGATTCACGCTGTTGCTTAGGGGCCAGGGTCTGTGACGATTCTGCTCATGACGGAACCAGGACGTGGCGTGGGACCAGTCTCCAGGCCCAGCACGGCAGCCACCTGACCCGACCACCGCCTCTTCCTGCCAGTCCAGCCCTCACCTTCACTCAGCGCCCACTAACCGACAAACAGGCTGATGCTGGTTGACAGGAGGATCCCCACCTGCGCCCCCCGCCTCACCTTGAGCCCCTTGGCCCTGTTGATGGCTCTCAGGGGCCTGAGGACTCGCAGAACCCGCAGGATCTTCACGACGTTGATTGCACTGGACCTAGGAGAGAGGGACGGCAGTGGGGGTAAGAGCCTCCTGTCTCTGGTGGAGCAGAGACGCTGGGGGGAGGGGGTGTCCTGACAGGAGCTGCTCCAGCAGACCTGAGAAAGTCCCGACTCTGTCTTGGCGACTTTCCCATCCTGGGAGCATTCTCTCCTCCATAAGAACCCAGAGTTGGCCGGGCTCGGCGGCTCAGCCTGTCATCCCAGCACTTGGGGAGGCTGAGGCGAGTGGATTGCCTGAGCCCGCGGGTTCGAGACCCGCCTGGGCAACTTGTCGAGACCTCGTCTCTACAATAAAATAAATAAATAAAATGAGCCGGGCGTGGTAGTGCGCGCCTGTGGTTCGGGCTACTTGGAAGGCTGAGGCAGAGGGATTGCTGGAGCCCAGCGGGTCGATGCTGGGGTGGCCGCCAGTGTGCCACTCCCTCCAGCCTGGGCGACGGAGTGGGACTCCAACTCAAAAAAAAAAAAAAGAACCCAGAGCTTGCCTGTGACCCTGGCATTTTCCTGGGGGTGAGCAAATGATCTACAAAGCGATCGGGAGTCACTAGCAATATCATGGGCTACAGGGGTGAGGGGATGGGGGGAGGCATGCACAGTGTCAGTCAGAGAAAGGAGATTCCCAGCAAGATGACCTGACTTTAACCCTCAGAGCTGCCCTGTGCCGACCAAGTCACTGAGGACACATTCTCTAACTTTTTAAAGGCCTAGTCTCTTCACCCCGTCAATAACGGGGCTGTAATTGACTTACAAGGCTGTTGCAAGGACTACAGGTGATTCGGATGAGAATCATTGAGTCGTGTGCTTGGTACACGCAATGAAATGAATACATGGGGGCTTTTGTTATCCTCCCTGATGAGGACAGTATTGTACTTAATGACCATATTAATGGCAGAAGGTCAGGCCTTGCGGTTAGAGGTGGTGTGTCTGGAGAGGAGACTTTCTGGTGCCTGTTTCCAAACATACATCCTAGGCAGTTACCCATGACAATAATATGTGAAACCCATGATGACACCCGCATGTAAAGCCCACCATGACACCTGCATGCAAAGCCCACGATGACACCTGAATGTAAAGCCCATTTGAGACTCCCAGACAGAATGGTCTCTGCACCAGTTTCACCCACCCAGGATTCCCAGGTCAAGTCAGAACTTCTGGGAACCTTAGAGTGTGGCTACTCCTTAGTGCCACAAAGGAGTAGAGGGGAGAAGAAGATGGCTGGATGGTTTCCAGAGTTTTCCATCTAAACCAGCTGGGGATTATTAATCACACCAGGTTAGTGAGCAACTCTGGAATGTATCCTGCCTCTTACATGCTAACTATCTGAGGTATCCTCTCCAGCTTTCAGAGAGCTCTACACTTACCCTGGAACCTAAGAATTGAACGACAGGTCAGCAAGAGCTGATTTTATTCTTCTCGTGGTCAGAATGATGTGCCACGAAGGAGCTGTTGGGAAGACCAATTTCTCTAGCACATGGTTCTTTGGTTCCCTGCGAGTCAGAGGGCATTCCCACCCCTCACTATGTCTCTCCCTCAGCATCTCTGGGAGGGAGTCAGTTTGCCCTAAATCATAGTGGAAGGGATTTAAAGGTCACACGGGAAAATCAGGCTAAAGAGGAAGAATTCCTGGTTCAAGGTTAAATAGTGATTGAGTGGTTATGTTGGGATTCAAATCTAGGCCAGTTTTTTTTTCTGTGATTAATGATCACAGAAAAGGGTCTCTCTATCAAGACTTCTATTTCTATCTCGGCTGACCATGAAAACACACTTGAGAGGGGGAGATTCAGGACTCTTTGGACTTGTCTTTTTTTACCATTGGTGTGACCTTGAGCAAATGTCATGATGTCCCGAACCCCGATTTTACCATCTATGCAATGATGATAACAACATTTGCCCTGCCACCACCATAGGTTTTGTGTGTGTGTGTGTTCCTTGAAAAACATGCACGAGACAACAGTTTGAAAGTTAAAGATTAGGATTAACATTGTCAGCTGTCAGTAGTTGGTAGAAACTAGTTATCGGATCCTTTTACATCTGAGAAATGTCTGCAACCTTGGCTGGACAGGGGATTGCTTGGGGAGCTCTCAAACTTCTAAAGCCCAGGCTATACCCAAGTCCAGTGAAGTCAAAAGCTCTAGGGATGGCATCCAGGCAATTTAAAAACAATTTTTAATTTTAAAAATGTGGGGTACAATTCAGGCAAATGTTTTTATTAAAACTACCCAGGTTGTTTCACTGGGTGGCTAAGACTGAAAATCAGTGATTTCTCTCTTTCTAACACACACTTGCGCGCGCGCGCACACACACGTCAGGTACTTTGGCTAGAGAGGGAGGGGAGAGAAAGGGAGGGAGGGTGGATTGAAGGTGAGGGCAGGTCATGGTCATGGCCAGCTCTTGGCCACTGAAGGGTAGTTAAGGGTGCATGGTTGAGGAAGTAGGAAGGGTCCTGGAGACATCTGTTGTTGTTCTTTTTTTTTTTTTTTTGAGTTGGAGTCTCACTCCATTGCCCAGGCTGGAGTCAGTGGCATGTACACTCATAGCTACCCCAGCGTTGACCTGCTGGGCTCAGGTGATCCTTCTGCCCCAGCCTTCCGAGTAGCTGGAACTACAGGCATGTGCTACCATGCCCAGCTAATTTTTTGATTTATTATATTCTCGAACCCGTGGGCTCAAGTAATCCCCTCACCTCAGCCTCCCAAAGTGCTGGGATTACAGGCTTGAGCCACCGTGCCCAGCCTGTTGTTGTTTTTTAACTATTTTATTTACTTACTTATTAATTTAATTTTTTTAGTTGGAGTCTCACTCTGTCACCCAGAATGGAGTGCAGTGGCACCATCACGGCTCACCGCAGCCTTGACCTCTTGGGCACAGGAGACCGTCTGCCTCAGACTCCTGAGTAGCTGGGACTAAGGCACTCAGTAGCATGGCCAGTTAATTTTTTATTTTTATTTATTTTAGAGAGATGAGGTCTCACTATGTTGTCTAAGCTGATCTCGAACTTTTGGACATGAACCACTGCGCCCGGCTTGCTACATTTCTTTCTTTCTTTTTTTTTTTGAGTTGGAGTCTCACTCTGTCGCTCAGACTGGAGTGCAGTGGCCGTTCCCGGCCACCGCAGCCTTGCCTGCTGGGCTCCAGCGATCCTTCCGCCTCAGCCTTCCAAGTAGCTGGAACTACAGGCGTGCGCTACCACACCCGGCTAATTTTTGATTTATTGTAGAGATGAGGTCTCGCCAAGTTGCCCAGGCGGGTCTCGGACCCATGGGCTCAGGCAATCCACTCACCTCAGCCTCCCAAAGCACGAGATTACAGGCTGAGACACCGAGCCCGGCTGCTACATTTCTTAATAATGGAGCCCGGCCGCGCCTGTCCTGACAAAACCCAGGTATTGAAACATATTTCAGTTTCTATGTTTCATGCCCCAAGTGTCACACCTGAGGACAGAGATACAAGAACTCAGAGTCGCCGTGCTGTGCAACTTCCGTGGCCCCACCCGCTTCATCACAGTCACACTGGAGAGACCCTCGGGACTTGGCTGTCCTTTCTGACACCCATTGTTAGAGGCATACCCTATTGTGGGCTGAGGGGGCCCTACTTACTGGATGCCGAAGGAGATGAGGGACACGCTGACCACCAGTAGGTCCAAGATGTTGAAATAGTTCCGGCAGAAAGAGCCCTTGTGCAGGAATGCTCCATAAGCCGTCATCTGCAGGAAGGCACAGAGAAGCACGGGTGTGAGTGGTCTAGCCCTGGCCCAGGGACCCACCCTCCACACCACCGCCCACAGCATTCCTTGGGCAGGCCCCAAGCACGGTCCAAGGGGAACAGGAAGGACCTAGAAGGAGATAGGGCGCCAGGAAAAGGGTTCTGCACACAACCACCAAAGAATTCCCCCAGTCCAGGACCTGTAAATGGCTCCTCATACCACCAAGCCATGCCAGACTCCTCAATCCTATATTCGAAGCCCTCTCAGATGGGTCGCCGCACTCTCTCTCATGTTCCTCTCTTTCTCAATACAAGGCCATGGCTCCAGCCCCTTAGGGCCCTTTAGGGATGCCACCCAGGCTGGGTTTCCCCTACATGCACACCTCCCAGCTGTCTCTCCCAATTCTCTTGTCCTCAGGTCAGCAGAGAGCAGTAAGCATCTGGGGAAAGGCAGAGGCGTGCCCAGTGGGGTGACCAACCATCTTGGTGTACCCAGGTTGGCTTTACCACTAAAAGTCCTGCATTCTAGGAAACCCCTCTGTCCTAGGCAAACTGGACCTGTGGGTCACCCTGGTGCCCAAGAAGAAGTTCTACCAAGAATGCTGGCAATTAGCATCGCTTCCCTTCCTGGCCTCAAAGGGTGCTTATGATCTATGCCACATATTCTAAATGCTATTTTTTTTAAGTTGGGAGTCTTACTCTGTCGCCCAGGCTGGAGTACAGTGGCATTGGCTCATTTTAATTTTTTTGTAGAGTCGATGTCTCACTATGTTGCCGAGGCTGGTCTTGAACTCTTGGGCTCAAGTGATCCTCTTGCCTTGGCCTCCCAAAGTGATGGGGTTACAGGCTTGAGCCACTGCGCCCAGCTTCTAAACTCTGTTTTGCTTCTAGACTGCACTTGGGGCCCCTGAAGAAATCGCTTCTGCGTGTTCAGAGTGGCCATGTGGCACCAGGGCTGAGAACACAGGCTCTGGAGCCAGGCATCTGGGCTTGAATCCCAACCCTATGAGATTTTATTTGTGTGGCCTGGAGCAAGATATGCAACTTCTCTCAGTGCATCAGTTTCCTCTTGTGAAAAATAAGGACAATGATCATACCTACCCTATAGGGTTGGAAACATCCGTTGAGTAACTACATGTAAAACACTTAGAACAGCAGATAGGGAACTCCGTATTAGGGTCGGCTGTCCCAATAACTTGGATTTGAATTCTGGATTCTTCCTGTCTGAGGGAAGTCCTGTTTCCTCATTATAAAGTGGGGGTACTAGTCCCTGCCTTTGCAAGGCCCATATGGGAAAACAACATGACAGCGCTTTGAAAACTTTAAAAAAGAAAACACATAAGACGACAATGATGGTGACAGGACTTGACCACGGTCAGCCCCCTCGGAGCCTGGTATAAAGCTGTGCACCGTGGGTGCTCAACAAAAAGCCCTGACCGCCTTTCCCATTTTGCCGACTCGAATAAGAGCCGATGGACATCTAGGATGAGGGCCGTGGCAGGCCAGGGGCCGGGAAGTGCCAGTCAAAGGGGACAGCGTGGTGCCAGTGGTGGAGAGGCGGAGTGCGGCTCCCTGGTCATCTGGGACCCAGTTCATCTCTTCGGAATCAGAGCGTGCCCAGGGCAGCGCGTCCGTAGAGCCGTTCAAAAGCAAACACAGGGGGAAATGGGCGAAAATAGCTCTTGTAACCCAATTCTTTCCATTTATCTCTTGCGGCAGGGGGTCCCGGGGGACACAGGCACCTGTGATCTGCAACGGTGTTTTTAGAAGTGGGTAGATTATATAAAAGGTTGCAGGGGAACAGAGTTCCAGAAGGCCTGCCATCTGGAAGGCTTGCCGCCTGTCTCTCAGTAAAGACCTGGGAACCCCAGAGACGGGGCTCAGGCAGCTCCTGTGGGTCCCACGGACTGAAGCGCCCTCTGTGCCTGCAGCTGGCCCAGCGTGTCCCTGGCATCTCACTTTTAGTTTGAGGGAGGGCACTGAGTCTGAGTCCCCTTTGCTCCTGGGCCTGGAAGTTATTCCTGAGCTCCGATAGAGCCCTCTGCCTCGGGGAGAAGTGTGCCTCGGATGGGCAGACTCTCAGGGCTCAGAGTGCCAACTCCGTCCTATGGCTTTGGGCTCTTGTTGTGGCTGGGGACGCTAGAAGGAGACCAGCCCTTCAGAAAAAGGCATGTGGTTGGCAGAAGAGCGGCTGTGGGAAAGGTGCAAGTGAACCTGGCAAATGGGGCTAGGTCCCTATCTGTCGCTCCGGTGGAGTGCAGTGGCACGATCATGGCTCACTGCAGCCTCTGTCTCCTGGGCTCAGGTGAGCCTCCCGCCTCAGCCTCCCAAGTAGATGGGACTACAGGCATGTATGACCACACTCAGCTAATTTTTTCGATATTTTTGTAGAGACAGGTCTCGCTATGTTGCCCAGGCTGGTCTTGAGCTTCTGCGCCCTTCTTTCTGATTGCCACCCCCCTAGGCCTGCTTCCTAAATTCTAAACCATTGCCCAAGAAAGTCCTCTTGCTGGGATGTTCCCATCCTGAGGAGAGAAAAGGCATGGGGCATGGGCTCTCCGTCGGAAAAGGCGGGAAACCCTTCTGCTCAGTTGTGGCAATCCCTGCTTCTCTGGGCAGTGTTTCTAGTTATTAAATGGATCTCATCTTTGGTGGTTTCCACTCATTGTTCCCAAGGCTACCTGCTACCTCTTTTACGTGACAGTCCCTTGCATTATTCAGGCCAACCGTCCTAAGCCTTTTCAAGGCCAGACATCCCCAGGTCCTTCAACTGTTCCTCTTGGATGGCCATGGCCGTCAGTGTCATGGCATGACGCTGGGCCTTCCCTGGGAAGAGGGACCCGATGGGAAGGAGGGTCGGGGAGGTTTCTGGGATCAAGGTTGCTATTCAGAAGCACATGAAGCATAGAAGAGAGTAGAAGAGGAAGGAGACAGGAGGGGAGGAAGGGGAGGACCTTGCCATGACACCGCTTGCCAAGAGACCTTTCACTTACACTCTTGGACAGCCGGAACCGAGGACAGGTCTGGGCAAGAGAGCCTCTGGGGGACGAGGACACACAGAAAGGCACACAGAAACTGCCCCCTCAGTTTGTATCTAGATGTGTCATGTACATCAAAGGGCTGGGCTCTGATGTGGGAGTGCCTTCAGGGAAGGAATGGCCTGCAGCTGGGGGCGGCACACGGGCAGGTGTGGACGTCAGTTTGTAACTACTGCAGTGACGGGATGACATAGGGAGCCTGAACTCCTGGGCTAGTGTCCCAGGCAGGAGAGACAGCTGAAGCATGGTTGCCCACCTTCCCTCTTCTACTCAGAGTCAGGGTAAAATCTAGCCCCTTGCTCTGAGAGGAGCTCACTTTATGGAGGTTTCAGAACTCACACCCTGAACCTCAGATGGACTGGCATGGCGAGGCATTGGTTCAGAGGCTCACAAGTATGCTGGAAAAACGCTCTCTCACTCCAGAGCTACTCAGAGGCGGGCTCTGCAATGAGGGTAGCAATACTGTAGCGGTTCCATCAACAGAGCTGAGTTGGGCCAGCAGCAGGCAGGGCTGGGACAGTGGCTGGAAGGGCAGGGCTGGGGCCTGGATGCTCAGGCTTCTTGTGAGGCCGACTCTTAGCTCTCCCTGCCGGGCTTAGCTCTACCGGTGCAATCCTGCCTCCCCCTGGCTCAGGGCAAGGGCCACTGTAACAAAGCTTAGCAGCAGGTGACCAAGGGGTCAGGAGCAATCTATGGCTGTCTGCTGAAGCCTCTCAGCTGGGAGACGGGCTCCAAATCTCGTATTGGGTCTGCGATCACTGTTATGTGGCTCCAGCCCCACCTAGGGCTGGATGTCAGCCGCAGGCATTGGGGAAGGAGCCAGGACGGCATCCACAAGGGGCAGTCGAAGTCATTCGTTCACGCCCTGGGAACTTTTCCCTTTTTGGAGTGTGTGGCATTTCCTCTGGGCAGGAGGAGCAAAGGAGAGTTCTATGTGGCGCTCGGGGTCCACTTAATGGGAGTTGATGCGTGTGGCATGTGGCTGGTGGCCGCAGCGTCCACGTCAGCACAGCCAGCGCGTGTCCCTTGCAGGTCATGGATTGCTTAGTGGCGGCCAGAGAGGAGGGGCCGCAGGGTGGGCTTCTGAGCCTGGGCAAAGTGCACTGCACCAAGCGAGGGGGCACTAATTCTTCCAAATTCAGGCTTGGGAGTAAAAACAGAGAGAGTAAAAGAAACAGGAGAAGAGAGCCAGCCAGCCAGAGCAGAGGCAGACACAGAAAGAGACAAGATGCACCGCCCAGGTTGCATTACCTTAAGGATAATTTCTAACGTAAAGATACTAGTGAAGACATAGTCTGCATTGCCTAGGATCTGAAAAATAAGCACAGTTGGATTAGCGGCTCTGAGAGTGAACCCGACACCGATCAGGAGCATGTGTGTTAGCGACAGACAACGGCAGAGAGCTGGTGCTGGCACGAGGTGGGGCAGGAAGCAGGAGGCAGGTGGGGGCTTTACCTTCAGAGCAATTTCAATGGTGAAAATGGTGGTAAAAACAATATCAAAATAAAACAGAATCTGCAAAACAAAAAGGAACAGGGGTGGGGATGGGGTGGGGAAGGGGAGAAAAGCAGGCCAGGAGGGGAGGTCAGTGGTTGTTCCCCAGAAAAGGGGCCACACTGCAAAACGTGACCCCGGGGCCCCGCTGCACAGAGATGCAGGTGGAAACGAGGGGGAGGGGAGTCAGTGGCACACACACAGCGTGGTCCTGGTCCGGAAGCGGGGCTCGCCTCCGGTGGCACTGTGCCTTCCCACGAAGTCCCCAGGTAAGTGAGGGGAGCTTCCAGGGCAGGCCTCAGCTGGTGTTGGGTCTGGGCAGCGTCTGGTGGCATGCTCTTCTCATTAACCCAATTTACTTACAAACCCAGATGAGACCACTGGGATGCCGGTCAAAAGGACAGAGAATGGGGCTTGTCTTTTTGCAGGGGCATTCAAAATGCTGAACGCATGTCGGAGGGACCAAGCTAGCTAGCTTTCTATTTTGGTAGATGTCTGTGCTGGGGTTGTGTTCTCTGGGTCAAGGGAGGAGCATCCTTCAGGTGAGGTCCGCTCAGGCTGAGGACTCGCTCCGGGATTTCATGCTTTATTACATCTCAGGTGGTGGGTCAGGGATGGGGCCGACAGCTGCCAACCTCAGTAAGACAGGCCCAGCCCAAGCAGGCTCCAGGACCACTGGTGGGTTTGGTGTGGGTACAGATGAAGCTTGGTGGGCTCCTTTCTTCACGCCCACCTGGTTGGGGTTTGACAAAACTTTGAGATAAATATAGTGATTCTTAGAATAGCCCTTAAGTGCTCACCAGAGGCTTGGGTGGGTCCCCAAGTTTGGTTCTACCCTACAGAAAACACTGAGGTTTTCTGTCCTATGTGGCCAGCCTTACTGGTATCTATTGTCCATGCTCTCCTTAGGGTCAGAGACGACTAGGAGTGGGGCAGGAAGCATTCATGCTTTACTGAGTTTCCAGGAAACTTGAGTTTCCTGGGGAACCGCCACAGGCGATGAAAGTCCTGACCTTTGCCGATGATCCAACCAGCCTGAGGCACGCGGGTACGTGCCCTTGGACTTGCTTGTGCTAAGGTGGGTTCTATCAAAGCTCTAGTTCTCTTAGAGAGATGTTCATGGCACATCTGATGATGAGATTTGGAATGGGGCTCCTGACTGGACAGTGACAACAGAAGCGGTGGGCCTGTCACGCCCCCTGGGGAAAGGGGGACAGGGACACAAGGCAACGCCTACATGGTTTCTGAAGGAGGTGTGCTGGACCGGGTCCTCGGCAGCCAGCGAAATGCTGCTGAGCAAGATGAAGAAGAGGATCAGGTTGGTGAAGATGGTGTTGTTGACGATGCGGTGGCACTGGAGGCGAAACCTGCACGGGAAGGAGGAGAAATGTCAGGCCAGACCAGGGGAAGCAGCCGATGGCTCTTGGGGGCACGGCCCTCAAGTCCTCCCGTCAGCTGGCAGAGGTGCTCGTCAGCTTGGGGAGTGGGTGCCTCAATCAGAAGTCTTGCTGCCGCTTAGTCACGGCAGCTTGTCCCCCAGCCCCACGTCACACATCTCTACAGAACTTGGGGGTTCAAAAGCGCGCTCATAGTCAGTCTCCTCGGACAGGCTGAAGGGTTACCTCCGAGACTGTTGGGAATCTCTGGATTTCCAAATACTTCTGTGATTTTTGTTTTTTTTTTTTTGGAGTCGGAATCTCACTCTGTCGCCCAGACTGGAGAGCAGTGGCCGCTCCCGGCCACCGCAGCCTCGTCTGCTGGGCTCCGGCGATCCTTCCGCCTCAGCCTTCCGAGTCGCCGGAATTACAGGCATGCGCTACCACGCCCGACTGGTTTTTGATTTATTATAGAGATGAGGTCTCGCCAAGTTGGCCAGGTGGGTCTCGAACCCGCGGGCTCAGGCAATCCACTCACCTCAGCCTCCCAAAGCGTGGGATTACAGGCTGAGCCACTGAGCCCGGCTTACTCCTGTAATGCTAACAAAGCCGTTTTGTTTGGGGGATATGCTTTCCCTATCATTGAAAAAAAATCACGTTGTGGGATCGATTTCACGTTTTTATACACAGGGAACAAGAGAGTTTCCTGAGAGGCCAGCCAAGTCTACTCTCGGGCTGGGTGATTTGCTCCTGGGTGGTAGGGTCGGGTGTTCCGTTCTCGTCAGCTCCGCACCTCAGCATGATCGCTCATGAGCTTCTGGGCACTCCCTGGTAGTGCCACAAATGCTGCAGCCCTAAATGCCAAGGCATCTTGTATACTATCTTATCTTGACACCAGTGCAGGAAGGAAGGTATGAGTATCGTTATCATCTTCATTTCACAGATAAAAACACGGAAACTCAGGAAGGAGAAGCTTGCCCAGAAACACAGCCTGGAGTGTGGGGGCAGTCAGAGCTTGAACCCAAGCCATTAGATTTCTCCTGGCATTATGGTTGACTAAATGCTCTGAGAGACCCTCCTGTGGCAAAATCCTAGAAAGGCAAACTCTCTGAGACAATTATCTTTCACGAGCATCCAGAGACGTCCACAAGAATCATCTCCTTCAAACCAACCCACCCACTGAACTGAGGTCCATGTATGGGCTATCGGAATGGCAGAGTTGCCTGAGGACAGGAGCCAATAAGAGCAGTGCTGTCAGGAAACTGCATTTCAAGCCTGTCTTGACGTGGGGCAGGAAAGCCTCAGACCCTTAGACTAAGCCAACACCCTAAGCATCTAGGAGAAAGCCTCCCGAATTCCAATTTGGGTCCACAGGACTTGCACCAATGAAGGATGAAGTGTTGAGGCCACAATCAAAGACCATCAAACACACAAAAGGATAAGCCACTAAGGTGAGAAATCAGAAGAAACACCATGTAAATGATTTAGACCTTCCCAATGACTGTGGATACTGGAAATACTAGATACAGAATATAAAACAACTATATTTGTAATATTTAAAGGAATAAATGTCTCAGTCACAAAGATGAATCCACAGAAACTGTTAGATACAGACAAATGGATCTGAAAAAAATCAAGCAACAAATGAAATTGACTGAAATGAAAAAATATAATGGTCAAGATTTTAAAAATTGGTTTAAACAGAATATAGATTAAGTTGAAAAGAGAATTAAGAAACTGGAAAATATGACTGAAGAAATCACCCAGAATACTGAAAGAGAGATAAGAAGATAAAAGATATGTCAGACACTTTAAGAGATAGAAAAGAGAGAATGATTAATAGATTTCTAATTTGAGTGCTAAAAGGAGGGGATAGAGAATTAAGGAGAAGCAATATTTAGAGATTTTGGCAGCAAATTTTCAAGAACTAATGAAAAATATAAATCCACAGACCTAGGACATATAATGTATTTTAAAGATACATTAAATGGAGAAGATAAATGGAAAGAAATCCATGTCTTGACACTTAGTAATAAATCTGTACAACAACAAAAGAAACAGAAGGTGTTAAAAGCAACTACAACTAAGGTTAGGTGCCTTACCAAGGAATAATAGTTGGAATGATAGGTGACTTCATGGTGGAACAATACCTTACTGAGAACAATACCTTACTGAGGACAATACCTTCTTGAGAACAATACCTTCCTCAGAACAATGTGCTGAGGGACAAAAACTGTCAGTCTAAAATTGTTCACACAGCAAAATGATCTTTCAAGAACAAGAAATGAAAACGGTTATAGCTAATTAGAGGCCAAGTGAATGTACCATAAAGAAACAAAAAAAAAACCTTCTAAATAATAAACTTTAGTAAGAAAGAAAATGTTTGCAGAATGATGCACTGAACTGCATAAAAAATTGGTGAACAAATAAAATAGTAAGTTGTACATAAATCCAACTACACACTAATAATAATAAGGATAATAATAAAAATAATGACTAACTTGGGTTAAAAAAAGGTGGGACTAAAATATTAATCAACATTTCCATGTAAGTCAGGAGGGAATGAGTGAGTTAAAATAATCTAAGCTCCTTTTATTGTACAGGAAAGGGTTTAAGATTTTTGTTTGTTTTTGGTTTTTTTGAGTTGGAGTCTCACTCCATCGCCCAGGCTGGAGTGCAGTGGCATGTTCACGGCCACCCCAGCTGGGCTCAGGCGATCCATCTGCCTCAAGTAGCTGGACTTACAGGTGGCACTACCACGCACTACCACGCCTGATTTATCATAGAGATGAGGTCTTGCCAAGTTGCCCAGGCTGTTCTTGAACTCGTGGGCTCAGGCAGGATTTTTTTTGTTTAAACTTTACATTTTGTTAAGTTAAACAGACTTGGTACATTGTCAAGGGTAATCACCAGAAGAATATAAATAGAGTTTAAACATTTCAAAAAGTAGAGAGAAAAACAAACACAGATCTTCTGATTCAGAATCCAGGACTCTTTCGGCTAAATCGAGGTCTCTGTACAAGTTGGGGGAGTTGGGAGAGTCCCAGGGTCCATCCGGTATTTAGGCAAAATACAGGCACCTGCTGTCTTTCTATCACGGAGAGAGCAAAGCCCCACCTTCCCCCCCATTCTCGCACACCTGTTGTTGGGGCTGAAGATGAAAAATGCGCTGGCTTCTGGCATAGGCGCTGCCTTTTCTTTGAGGTGCAGCTCAGAGAGTGGTCGTGGGCGGGGGCCGACAGGCATCTCTGGCTCCTCTTCATCCTCTTCTCCTGTAAGAACAGCATCATTCTAAATAACTCCACCACTCCCACTTATCTTACCACTGCACCGCCCACCTCCAGAGACATTTCCACGGGCAGGAATCAAGACATCACTGCGTCTCTGAAAATGCAGGGTACCCACCAAGACAGACAGACATTCTGCTCTCTCCCTGTGGATGCTCTGGAGCTCATCTCTGTCAGAGAAAGACCTCTCTGGCAGTACACGGTATGTAGGGCTATAAGTAAGGTGAGTAACGTGTCCTAGTTTGTCCAGCATTGTACTTTTTTTTTTTTTGAGTTGGGTTCACACTCTGTTTCCCAGGCTAGAGTGCAGTGGCACGATCATGGCTCACTGTAGCCTTGACCTCCTTGGGCTCAGGCGATCTTTACATCTCAGTCTCCAGGGTAGCAGGGACTACAGATATGTGCCACCATTCCCAGTTAAGTTTTTGATTTTTTTTTTGGTAGAGATGAGGTCTTGCTATGTTGCCCAGGCAGGTCTTGAACTCCTGGGCTCAAATGTTGCTCCTGTCTAGGTTTCCGAAAGTGCTGGGATTATAGGTGTGAGCCACCTTGCCGGGCCTATTCTAGTTTTTTTTTTTTTTTTTTAAATAAAGATGTGGGGTACAATTCAGGGTTAGATATACAAACATTGATTATGCAGGTACCCTTGTTGATGAGGCATGCCCCTCCCTCCCCTGGCAGATTCCCTCAACTGCTGATCCCACCCCCGCTCCCCTGACAGTTTCCCATTACTGCCAAACACTTTCTTATCATATTATAATTGTTCAAGGTCTGCTTATGAGTTTAAAACTTAAACTCCCACACCCCAGGAAAAGCTTCAGCCCTGGGCAAACTGGGATGGGGTGTCATCCTAGTTGTAAGCTACTGGAGAAGGTGACAAGGGAAGACCCTATCCCACCACGTACTCGTCCATCTACTCTGCTGGTGGGGAAAAGGATATGGCTTAGATGGCTTATGGAATCCCTTGCAAGCAATCCCACCTTGGAAGTTCCAGGAATTTAAAACCAACCCTTATCCGTTTCTGAAATTACAAAAAGAAAAATCATGCGTGACAGAGAGAACAGGACACAGGGGTCCTTCATTCAAAAGTTTAGACACTGACATCAATGAAAAATGTGCTTTTGTTCTCCTGGCCCACGGCTTATTCCTGTGTTATAATGTGGACCAAACTCACACGGCTTATTCCTGTGTTCAAGAGCACAATGCCCTGGGAGGCACTCGTTGCATATTCTGTGCTGGTCAGTGTGTTTAAAACTATTCAGAAGGGGAAGGGTAGCAGCATGGGACTAAGCGGCATGGGTGCTCCAGTCAAATGCCTTGACCCGAATCTTGGCTTTGCTTCTTTCTGGCTATGAGCAGTTTACTTAGTCGCTCTGTGCCTCAGTTTCTCTCTCTAAGGTGGAATAATCATCATGGTACATACACACCTCAGAACACTGCCTGGCATATAGTAACTGCTATGTAAGTGTCGGTAGCTTGTATTACTATCTCTGCCCATGGGAGACACTCTAAGCCTGTAAACTAGTGCTCAGCATATCTCTCTGTCTGATCCTTATCTGCTATTATCCCCGAATAAAATGTCCACTCACATCAAGCTATTTTCCGAACATTCAATGCAGTGGGTTGAATAGTGTCTCTCTGTCCCCAAATTCATGCCCACCAAGAACTTCAGAATGTGACCTTATTTGGAAATGGGGTCTTTGCAGATGTAATTGATTAAGATGAAGCTACACTGGGCTAGGGGTGGCCCTAAACCTAATGACTGCTGTCCTTCTAAAGAGAGACATAGAGCCACAAGAACACATTTAGGGACGGAGGTCATGTGAAGACAGGCGGAGACTGGGGTGACGTGACTCTGAGCCAACAGTTGCCGGCAACCCCAAGAAGTTAGGAAGAGGCAAGCGGGGATTTATCCCCAGAGCTTTCTAGAGAAGCATGGCCTGACTGACACCTTCATTTTGGACTTCTAGCCTCTAGAGCTGTGAGAAAACACATTCCTGTTGTTTTAAGAGGCCCAGTAGGTGATAATTTGTAATGGCAACCCTAGCAAGCAAAACAAGCTCACTATTCGCTTTGCTCATGCTCTCTGTCCCCGTTTGAACTGCCTTTCATCTTCCTGTCTGCAGAGTTTACAAGGACTCCCCCCTTCTCACTCCAGACAGCATCCTCTACCCAGTTTTCCTGAGAATCTAGGCACCAGGAGCAAACTTCCCATGGATTCCAGCAGCACCCTCTGCCTCCAATGTCTTGGATGCCTGCTTTTAAAACTGTGGAAGGACAGAACACGCCTGGTACCTGGGAACTCTTATTTCTTGGTGATGATTACACTTCCGCATCCTTCATAAGGACGGGGATTTTGCAAAAGAAGCTCAGGTGGACCCTCTGGTTGGAAAAACACAGTTATGGGAAGCTCATTTCAGAGAACCAGCCATGCCTCTGCAGACTCTCTCTTCTTCTGGTTAAAATCAAGCCAGGTGGTGCAGAGAAAAATATGCCTGACACAGAAAGCAATACCTTATCAAGCAAAAAGCATTTAGGGATTCGAGGTGTTTTGGAGGACCAGCAAAACGCAGGCATCCATCAGATTCTCTCCCTAGGGTCATTAGAGCTGACCAGCAGGGAAATGAATATTTTCAGCAGAAGATAGGCCCAAGATGAAAAACTGTGTACAGACCAAGAGTTGGAGCTTCTCTGACACCGAACTTTGGTTGTAAAAGACGTCTTCTACTTAAAAGAGAATAAGTATAACCAGAGTTGGCCCAAATCAGAATATTTACAAGTAAAACTGAATTGAGAAGGATCTCAAATCCCTGCCTAAGGGTTTGTATTCTTTTCACTTTTGCTCTAAATGACCCGATGCTTTCTCATTCATGATAATTTGGTAACAGGTAATTTTATGCTTATTTTAATCCTTGATGTTTACAGAAGACCATACTCACTAGCTTTGTGCCCGTCTAAGCTCCTAATGACAGATGTTGCATGCTCATTCGTCTACACTAGCTGCCTTTCTGCTTATGACATTCTACATTGATTTCCATTCCTGGGGAGAGGCAAGTGAGCTGGTGGCTTCAGACATTCATCAGCGGAATTTCAGGCATAAGGTTTAAGAGGAAACCATTTCTGAATGACGAACTCAATTTTGTAAGGGGGCAAAGTTTGATGGCACATCATGTGCCTAGTATGTACTATGGAGAAGGAAGGAGGCTGACTGCCAGAAGGCTCAGGCACGGCTCATTTGGGGGTTGGCAACCGAACTACCCAGACTCCTACTCCCAAGTACCAGTGGATTCCCTTAGGAACATTTGCATTCTCATTTCCGTTCTTGGAGGTTTGGAAAAAGTATGGGAAGGGAGATGCCGCTGTACTCTGGAGTTGCTGCTGCTTTTCGGGTGATGGGTCAGAGTATTCACAAGTAGAACCGCTCGGGGTATCCCTCCCGTGGTCCCCAGCGACCCCTGTCCCTCCCATCTGAGGATCACTCTCTCCTCTATGATTTTGCTCGTGGCCAAGAGAAGTCAACGCATTATCCTTAGACATCCAGCGCCTACACAGCCTTGAGCCCGAGGCTGGGAAGAGCAAGCAGTGGTTCTTGTCGTCACGTCACGTTGCTTATGGCTTCTTGTGAGGCACAAGAGTCCGCCAGCCGCGGAAAGAGGAAGCGAGACTGGGAAGGGCGGACACCCAGAGCGGCGCTGCGGGACACAGAGGGTGCCGGCTGCCGATGCCATTTCTGCAATGGGGAGTTTCTCTTTACTCAGCAAGAAACCCACAGAGCCAGCCTGCGTTCCTCCTTCTCTCTCTTCAACATCTAAGCCTTTCCTAAAACCATTTGGCCCTACGTGCAAAACGTACCCCAAACCCAACTACGTCTCTGCATCTCCGGCACCATCACCCCCACGACCCTGGCTCAAGCTGTCGATGATTCTGACTGGATACTGCACAAGTCTCCTCCCTGCCCCAGTTCTGCTCCCGACCACTGACTGCCCTTTGTTCACACTACAGCCACAGGATCTTCCAAAGGGTAAGCTGGACATCAGACCCAGCCTCCCACGTGGCTATGGAGGCCCCATCCTTTCTGTTTCATCTGGCTTCCCGGCTCAGCTCCCTGTGCTGTCCCTTGGTCCTCTCTGTCCCTGGCGCACCGGCCCTCTCCAGAGTCCTCTGCAGCCAAGTGCATTCCCCCTAAGAGATGCTCGGTCCCTCCACCTAGAGAGATCTTCGCTTCGATTCCTTGTCTAGTTCTTTGAGTCATGAAGGTTTAGGCCCCAGTGTTGTGTCCACAGAGAGACCTTTACCGAGCACACAGAGACCTCCAACACAGTCTATGGTTTGTCATCTTCATGTCACCCGATGTCACCTTTTTGGTTGATTTGCTTATTTCCTGTCTCCCCATTTGCATGTCAGGGAGGCAGGGGTCTCTTCCGTTTGCCCACAGCTGTGTCCCTGATGCCTGGCACCGTGCCTGGCACACAGTAGGTGCTGCACGGGTAGTTAAGGAACATCGCCATGGTTTCTCCCAACTCTCAGTGTCCACGACAGCTGGATAGTCTTGATATAGCTTCTTCAAGTTTTGCAATGCTCTGATGCAAAGCCCAGCCAACCCCACCCTTCTGTACAAAGCCCCTCAGACTCCACCCACCTCACAGCTCCCACTGTCCTCCAAACCCTTGCAAGAGCAAAAGCCTCCCCAGAAGGGTTGGTGCAGCCCTACTCAGTATCTGCGTCACTTGCTATAAACAACAATGTGCACTTGTCCACGAAAAGTCCTTTGTGGCTCTTGTGAACATCTGTGTGCTCACTCAAATCAATGAATACATTAAACCAAAGCAGAACTGGCTCCCACAGATCTGGGCACAATGCTTGTCTTCCCAGGTGAGTCGAGGTTTCTCTCTGCTCTTCAGGTGTACTCATCTGGGAGGCTGAGACCAACTGGTGAGCTTTTGAGATTGAGTAGACCGGAAAGGACTCTAGGGCCACCTCGATGGCCCCTGTGTGCGAACTGGGAACAGGCCCCTCCTCTGGGCGCTCACAGTCACGCGAGGGCAAGTGTGCCGTGGCCAGCAGAGAGCAGGCTGGAGTCTAGCCCCCTCTCAGCCACTCTGACACTCGCTGATGGGTGCCACCTGGACGGCAAACACAGCCTCCCTGGAGAGAGGGCAAGGGCGAGAAGGGGGAGGGGCAGGAGATGCACGTGGCAGCACGCTCCCTGACGTGGGGTCTTTCTCCCCAGGGGCCCGAAGGCAGAGCCAGAGGAGCTCTCACCAGCACTGTCCACCGAGGGGCATCTGGGTTAACTGGGCACAGCAAAGGTTGGCTGCGCAGAAGAGGCCGGGGTCAGGAGGACAATGGGAGACCGGCCTCTTCGCCTTTCATGGTTCAGAAGGAAGAGAAGCAGGCGGAATGAGAGACGGACCAGAACAGAGACAACGGGCCAAGTGACCCTCGGGGGAGTCTTGGGGAACTTCTGCTGCACCCGGCACTCAGAGATCTGGAAGATGACCACAGGGACAGACAGGGATGGGAGGAGGCGGGTTGGGGGAGGGACAGTCCGGAAGAGATGGGAAGCGCAGACCTACTTAGCTTTTACAGGGTGTGAGGGGATGTGCAAAGGCACTGGGGCCTCCAGGGTGAAAACATGTAACCAGGAGTAGTGCTCACATAGGGGTGCACACAGAGGGGCACCTGGGTGTCGGTCTCAAAGGCCTGAAGGGTGGTGGAGGGGACAGCGAGGTCAGGGCAGCCTTAATGACCTGCAGGCCAGAGGTCTCAGCACAAAGGGAACGAAATGGGTGGGACCAAGAGAGATGAAGGCAAGAGATGAAGGCAAGTGCTGAAGGAGGCTGGAGAAGGACCAGGTGATGGGGAAAAGGGTCATTTGTTTAAAAATCTAGAGTCCAGAGGCCTCGGCAGGGTGCTCGAAAGAGTCAGCAAACCTAACCCTGCAGGGCCACCCACCTGCTGGACCAGCATCCTAGAGCATTTCTAAGAGGGCCGACACGGTGCAAGTGCTCTCCTCCCTGGTCCTCTGGCCCTTTCACATTCTTCTCTTGGATTTCACGACAGCAACAAAGAAGAGGAAAGCCAGGAGTGTAGGACTCAGAAGAATAGAACTTGAGATTATTGTGAGAGAGGCAAGAGGTGTGTCCGCCCCGGCCATGCGGTCTCAGCAGGGATGGGCCTGGCTGCAGCTCGGTGCATGTGCAAAGACCCTCACAGCCAGATGCCCCCTGCTGTGCACAAGGAGGCATGTCCTGAGGCCCAGCCTGCGTGGGACAGACTCTTCTCGGGGCTCAGAGGCTCAGAGGGATTTGTCAGGTTGCTATCTTTCTTTTTAAACTTAAAAAAAAACACACACGAGAGCTGAGCCACTTGAGGACTGAGCACCCATCTATGCAGCTTCAGCGACATTTAACATTTTGCTGATCTCATTTCATTTGTTTTCTCTGTCCCCATTTTTTTTGTTTTTTGAAAAGCAACTTTTGTTTTTTTAAAAGAATTACTTAAATTTTTTTTTTTTGAGTTGGAGTCTCCCTCCGTCGTCCAGACTGGAGTGCAGTGGCCAGGAGCGGCCACCGCAGCCTCGACCTGCTGGGCTCCAGCCATCCTTCCGCCTCAGCCTTCCAAGTAGCTGGAACTATAGGTGCGCGCTACTGCACCCAGCTAATTTTTGATTTATTGTAGAGATGAGGTCTTGCCAATTTGCCCAGGCGGGTCTCGAACCCGCGGGCTCAGGCAATCCACTTGCCTCGGCCTCCCACAGCGCTGGGATTACAGGCTGAGTGACTGAGCCCGGCCACATTTTTTTTTTTTTAATTGAGATGGGATCTTGCGCTGTTGCCCATGCTGGAGTGCAGTTGCGTGATCAGAGCTCACTGCAGCCTCAAACACCTGGCCTCAAGCGAGCCTCCCGCCTCAGCCTCCCCAGTCACTGGGATTACAGATGTGTACCACCATGCCCAGATCATTAAAGCTACTTCTAAATAGTTTAGATTCTAGCCACAGACACTTCAGCATTTTAAAAACAGAAATAAAAATATATTATTACACCAACAAGATAAACAAAAGCTACTTAAAATCATTTTGTGCCCAGCCAGTATTTAATTTCCCCCAATTATCTCAAAAATGTCACTTTAAAGTTTATTTGCTCATTCGGGATCCAGGCAAGATCCTCTCATTGCATTTGGTCAATGTTTCTAGTAAGTCTTTGAAATTCCATAACAGTTTCCCCCAGAAGGGGTTTCTGAGACTTCAAAGGGGCTTAGTGTCCTGCACGTGGAAACACCCTTCCTATTCTTCCCATCTAAGCTCTGGAAAACCATACCCTCTTCCCTTGCAGGAGGAGAGAGACGAGGAGGGTGCAACTACAGGAAGTCTGCTTCCCAAGGTCAACAGAAGATGCCTGCTAGTGTCCTTGCAGATCAGGCAGAGAACCAATGGTGGCAAAGTCAAAATGGAAAACCTAGCTTCGCTCGTAAATATAGAAGGTTCTCAGCCCCTGAACTTGGTCACCAGCCCAAATCTAGCCTGACCTACATGGAGAAGGAAACGTCGGAGTCAAGTCAGCAGTCCCTTGATGGTAGGTTTTTGGCTCCAAGCTTGAGGCTGGTGATCGTATCTGCAATTCTAGGTCAGAGGAAGGCAAGCCTGGGGCTTGGACAGGGCGTGGGATTTCAGGAAACGGGAAGGGAAGCTTGGAGGGAGGACCGAGGGCTTCTGACAGGAAAACCCTCTAAAAAGAGGCTGCTGCCAGTGTGCATGTCGGGTAGAAACACGAGGAGATCGAGTCAGTAAGAGCTCTCCTTCTCATAAGAGACCTGAAAAGCGTTTTCTAAAGCAACAAGTGGGACATCTGTGGCAGCAGCTGTCCCTGCACTCGGCTCCGCCCCCTGAGTGGGGGCAAGACAGACTCGGGCTTAACCGTTATTATGAAGTGAGCACAATTCTGCGACATATGCTACACTAATGCATTGTATAAGTTAATAATGATTTTACAACCGATGATGAAACAAAACCCTAAATGTGTTTGGCATCCAGCTTCCAAAGGACACAAAAGCACTGTTGAAGTGTGATCTTATTATGAGGAAGCCAGAAACAAAGTTTTCTCTGGAGGAAAACGGGTCATGCTCAAATATAGAGACAGGAGACACGTAGCCATGCAGGGACACCGAAACTGTGGTCCCTAACACATGGCCACTCCCACACGGCTTGAGAATTTGGGAATCTGCCCCCAACCTCCCAGTGTCAGAGTTAGGCAGTGGGACTGGTACCTGTAGCTTCTGGATTGGGGTAGGGGCTCTTGTCCTCATTTTCATTGGGCTGGAGGTCGTCCATATGGATCTTGGCCACCAACGGGGAGAAGGAAGGAAGAATCCAGTTAGACACGTCCCAACAGTTTTAGAGGCTTGGAGAAGCTTTGACATTGCATTATAGTCAGAGATAGAGCTAAAAAATGTGCTCAGTGGCACTTTGCACATCACCTTGAAGACCTCAGCAGAGGATTGGCTTCTCTCTACCCTTCCAGCACTCACCCACCTCCCTCCCACCCCCAACTTTCTTTCTACCAAGTGTCTTCGCTTCTCTCCTCTCTCCACAGTGTCTGGCCCGGAAAGGCTGTGACCCTTCTTCCCCCAGCACTGGCCCCACAGTTCCAGGAAGGGGTAAGTGCCTCACCTTGGTGGTGGGTGGAGACTCCCCATCAGCTGTGATGGATTTCAGCTCAATCTTCTCCTCTTTGGTTTCCTCCACTGCTGGCTTCTCCACCACCTCTTGTTTCTTCTCTGGGCTGGCAGTCCTGGCCGGTCAGCAGGAGAAAAAAAAAAAGGATGTTTACTGAGGTGATAGGGAACAGTGTAGGAGGGAGGTGCTCTGTGGTCTGCTGGGGATCATGGGGGCAGATTCCCTGGGTCTGTGTCTGTCTTCCTTTCCCCAGGACATCTTGTGTGTACAGCTCAGTCACAAGTGCTACACTTGGCTCTCTCTGACACTCCGTCGGCCCCTTCCAGCTTCTCAGTTGCCCTAGTCTCTAAAGCAGAGAAGGATGACGGATCTCACCCAGAACTGGTGCCCAGAGGAACTCCACTCGGTTCCCGGTAGACGCATGGCCTGGGACTGTCCCATCTGGACAACGAAGGGATACAATGTAGGGGCCCATCTTGCCTTCTCAACACTGGAGATGAATTATAAAATAGTGAGAAGGAGTCACTCTTGAAGCTAGAAGTTTTGCATTTCCTCTGAGTGGCCGCCTTCCTCCTCTCCTACCATGGCTTATTCTCTCAAAAGAGAACTCCTCAACTTCCAGGACAGGTGGGAAATAGAACACCATGGCAGAGACTATAATTCACAATGGTTCCTACTAGAGCAATGCCTAGATATTAGGAGAGAAGCCCAACTTACTGTAGGAACCCCCAAACCCAGCGCCCTTGTAGGAGCAAGAGCCAACAGAGGCTGGGGCATCCATGTCTCTTTGCCACCAGTGGGAATGACATTCCAGAAGGAGGATCCTGACGCCCTGGGCCTGGGCAAGCTTAGAGGGTTACCTGGCAAGCTTCTTTCTCTCCTTCTCTTCTTCTTCCTCCTTTTGGGCAGATGTGAGGCTCTCGGCATCAGCCAGGTTGTCCACAGCAATGGCCAAGAACACATTCAGTAGGATATCTGTTTGTGTCCATTCTTAAAGAAAATGACCCTTGGCCTTGGGGTTTTAGTGGGCACAGGGGACAGGCAAGGTAGAGGGCATGTAGGGGTGGAGTCCCCCAGCAGCGAGAGTTCGAGGATGAATCCCTCGGAGGAGGTCAGAGCCTAAAGTGTCCATCCCCTTCCCCACCTTCCTCCCTCGCCAAGCTACTAGCTACCTGGAGTTCTCTAAAGGGTTGCAACCAGGCTAGCTTGCCCGCTGGAGTGGGCAGACAGGATGAGGCAGTAAGTCCTGCCTTACTCTTTAATTGCTGGGTTTCATTACTGGTTTCCCTGCTGAGATGACTGGCTATAATTGACATTATAAACAGCATTGTCTCTAGCAGGATGCAGAAGGCTCTTAAGAGCGGTTCATTATAATGGGGTGCTAAGGAGGTGGCCTGGTGTCTCTGCTAACTCTTAATGTGAGTCTGCACACACAAAGACCCATTGGAGGGTCTGGCTGGAGCCGGCCAAAGCTTGGGAATTCCTAATCGAAGCAGTCCTTTGCCTTTTCTCCACACACCCCTCTACCAGGAGAAATCCCGTGCGTCAGAGAACTGCAGAATCAAAGAAAGCATGACTGGAAAGGGGGCTTTACATCTGTTAAGTTTGGACTTCCAACCCCAGGGACCCAGACACTCATACCATTTCACATACAGGGAAGCCGAAACCCAGGCAGGCGAAGAGGGGCTTGTTCAGGAGGCTTCTGAACACCTCCACCTTGGGCCCCAGACTGGTAGGAACTTTGCAGGCATTTTCCAACTAAAAACCACCGACTGGCCAGGTATAGTGGCTCGGCTTGCCATCCTAGCACTTTGGGAGGTTGAGGCAGGAGGATTGCTTGAGCCCAGGAATTCAAAACCAGCCCAGGCAACATAGCAAGACCTGTCTCTACAAAAAAAAAAAAAAAGAAAGCCAGATGAGGGGGTATGCACCTGTAGTCCCAGCTACTTGAGATGGAAGGACTGTCTGAACCCAGGAGGTCAAGGCTGCCGAGAGCTGTGATTGTGCCACTGCACTCCAGTGTGGGTGACACAATGAGACCCCGACTCAAAAAAAAATAGTAGACACTGTTACTTTGTTATCATATTTTGTAGACCCTGAACCCCCAATCTGCAGGTCACCCAGCCTGGAAAATGTGAAGCTTCGTCTGCAGGCTTCAATGACTGTGTTTCCTGCACTCCCCAAAGCTGGGACTTAACCTGAGTCTTGGCCTGGAGCTACTCCTGTACCACCCGGCTCTGGAGGGGACTCTCACGGGGGTTATGAGCAGGAGAAGAGACACCCGTGGCTTGTGAATCTGGAAACCCGCTCCAGGCCGGGATCAGAAAGGAGCTGTTTGAAGTCCGCGCAGCTCAGCCTGTGACTCAAGTCCCAGAGAGCACCGTCAGAGGGAGGGATGCTGACCCAGAAGCAGGAGGAGAGCTGAAGGTCATTTCCAGGACCACGGCTCATCCTCCTTCCCAGAGCATCCTCCCTTTCGGGCACACACACGTGGCAGCCCTAGGGCAGCGTTCCCAGGGGCGTCTACCTGGGCGGCTGCACAGGCCACAACGCCAGGGGGCGTCGCTCACCTAGATGACGACCAGAACGTGTCTCTGGGACTTCGGCGTGTCACCGCAGCCCTCAACAGTTCAGGAAGGTGAACCTCGCGGACGCCAGAGCTGGCAGGCTCCCACCCAGACCCAACGGGATCTAGGCTGGGTGATGCCTTCCCCCCCCAT